ATTTTTATTTTCAACATTCAAATTATCCTTTTATAGGAACCTCCTCAAGTTCATCCTTGAATCCTTTTGACATGATTCCATAAGTGTCCTTGATAATTTTCTTACTTTGTGTTATGACAAGATACTCACATTATATATTTATCTAACAAAGCCCTAGTTTCTTTTAGTAGGAAATGGTATTTAAAAATCTCTCTAGGTACTCGAAATGTCCTTTGCTCACTAGGTTGGTCTTTATTTCTAGGCTTCTGTAGTGGATAGAGCTAGAAAATAATTTTCCTTTTCAAGTAACTTTGAAATAGTAATTTAACTGTTCATCCCACATGGGATGGATCTTAAGGAAAAGAAGGGAAAAAAATCCTATATTGTTTGTAAAAATATTGTTCTGGGAGCATTATATTATGTATATTGTGGGATAAAACAAGTGAGAAATTATGTTGGTATCATTAGGAACCACAATTTTCAGCCTGGTCAAAAGGAGATACATATGTAAGATTGAAGAATTAAAAACTCAATAGTCCTGAATTTAAATTGAAAGTATCAGTATGACCGCATATTCTCCCCCACCACCACCACCATAAGTCATGATTTTAAAAAGTTGTAATTGCTATCTCTCTTATCCATCCCTCTGTCCCTCACCTTAGGTAAGCATTTGTACACTGTGCATACTTTTCTTCAGCTTGCTGTTTTCACCTTATGATATACCCTGGATATTGTACCATGCACTACAGCATGCATTCTCAATGGGAGATATCACTTCAAGAGGGCAAAAATTGGTTCTTGAAGAATAAAAAAAAAAACTTGGATATTACAATGGTTTGTGGCCCTACAAAGGGCCATAGTACATAAGAGAAATACAATATATCTATGGCATTAAAATTTCATGGAAAGTGTGTGTGTGTGATTAGGAATAAAAATATCTAAAAAGGTTTCTGGAGGGACAATAATGAAAAAATATTGAGAAACTACTCTCAAGCAGTGTATATAAGTATTTATCAATTCTTTTAAAAGCATATAATTATTTAAAAATGTATTATGACTTACTCAACTAGTTCCTTATTGGTCAACATTTGGGTTGTTTCCATTTCTTTACAGTTACCAACAGTACTGTAATCAACATATGTCGTTTTGTATTTTTGCCAGTGCATCTTTGATATAGATTCTAAGAAGTGGGATTCCTAGTTCAAAGGGTAGTTGCTTATGTAATTTTGCTATATGCTGCCAAATTCCTCTTATGGCAATGTTTTAGTTTGTACTAGTGGATATGTTCTAAATTAGTTTATTGTGAGATCTTGGTGCCATTGATGAGAACCTTTTTAGTCTTCTGGTTAGCTACAGGAAATATGATTTTCATATTGCAAAATACAAACTATTAATATGTTATTTCACTTACCAGATTTTTTTCAAAATTATCACTACCGCTACTTCCCACATGTTGTGTATAAAAGAAGAAGAGGCGTCTATATCTAAAAGGTCAAATGGTTTTAACTAATTTTTTAAAAATTGTGCTATATCTCTTCTTTCTTAGTAAAGACAGTTGCCAACATTAAGGATTTCTTTTTCAAGTAAATGTGGTATTGATATATTTAAAATATTTTGTTTTTATTTAAATTTAATCATTTATATTTAAATGTTTTAAGATTGCACCAGAAGATAGAGCTTTTAAAATTTTTTTTCCCCTGAGGAATAAACAAAGTTTTCCATTGGCCTATTTTACTTAAGTTTTGAAATACTTTGGACCTGCTAAGTTATCTAAGTTTCTTCAGCTCATTGCTTTTATGATAGATTGTGTGGCAAAATCTCTTTATATGTGAAGGTACGTCATCCTTACACTTTCAGTTTTGTGTTCTAATGACTTTCATTTTAATGACCTCAGGGATGTTGCACAGTAACTCAAGCTGATTATGACAGAGATTGAACTGAGTCAGACTGTATGTGTGGTGCTTCCAATATTTATTTGTACTAAGAACAAGGCCTGGTACATGGAAGGCACTTCTATTTGTCGAATAAATGAATGGCTGGGGAGCTACCACCATTGATATACAGTAAATGGTTAATAAGGAAAGGACTTAAAATATCTGAGTATATTGTCCATGAAATGTAGTCAGAAAATTTATGAAGTAACCTGGTTTTCTAGAATGCATTTAAGTGTCTAAAGATTAAAGATATACAGTTGACCCTTGAACAACATAGGGTTGAACTGCATGGGGACACTTATGTATGCAAGTTTTTTTCAATAAAGACATTGGAAAATTTTTTGGGAGTTTGCAACAATTTGAAAAAAAACTCACAAATTGCATAGCCTAAAAATATTTTAAAAAATTAAGAGAAAGTTAAGACATGCCATGAATACATAAAATACACATAGATACTAGTCTATTTATTATACTACCACAAAATACACACAAATCTATTATAAAAACTTTAAATTTATCAAAACTTAGACCATACATGGAATCAATATTGCAGTATTGAATCATAACTGCAAAAAGTTCACTATAGCATATATTGTATAATAATTTCATAGCCATCTCCTGTTGATATTGTGATCAGCTGAAGTGTTACAAGTATCCATTTAAAATGCCATGTGACACTAATCATCTCTGCATGAGCAGTTCTGTCTCTGCAGTACATTATGTATGGCAGTAAAAAGTGAACTCTTACGGTTCTTGTGTATTTTTCATCGTGTTTAGTGCAAACCACAAACTTTCAATAGCACCATGGGACTCATATGAAGTGCCACAAGTGATGCTGGCACTGCTTCCAAGAAGCAGAAGAAAATCATGACATTACGAGAAAATATTGAATTGCTTGACATGCACTCTAGATTGAGATCTGCAGCTGCGGTTGCCAGCTATTTCAAGATAAATGAATCCAGTTTAAGGATCATTGTAAAAAAAGAAAAGGAAATTCATGAATTCTTGCCACTGAATTCGCTACACCAGCAGGTGTGAAAGCCTTGCACATTTTGCGAAATACCTTTTTATCTCTTATTGAAAATGCAACTTTTATGTGAGTGCAGGATTGCTATAAGACGGCAAACCTGTAGATTCTAATATGATTGGAGAAAAAGCAAAGTCATTATATGACAACTTAAAGCAAGAAGAAGATGAAGGATGTAAAGCTGGAGAATATAATGCCAGCAAAAGATATTGTTTGTTAATTTTATAAAGAGGTTTGGCTTAAAAAATGTCAAGTTAACAGGAGAAGCAGCTTCTGCCAAACAAGAGGCAACAGATTTCCCAAATGCCAGTAGGAAAATCATTGAGGAGGAAAAATATCTGCCTGAACAGGTTTTTAGTGTAAAGGAAAGTCACCTGTTCAGGAAAAAGACATTAGTAAGGAAGGGAAGCAAGCACTGGAATTTATGGCAGAAAGGGATAGTCTAACTCTACTGTTTTGTACAAATGCAATTGGGTTTATGATCAGACTGCCCTTATCTATAAAGCTGATAACCCAGGAGCTTTGAAGGGAAAAGATAATAATAAATACCAACTGCCAGTCTTTTGGATGTACAACAAGAAGACCTGAATGACAACCATTTTTCTAGATTGGTTCCATCTATACTTTGTCCCTGAAGTTGGGAAGTACCTTGTCATTAAGGAACTGCCTTTTAGAGTTCTTTTGGTATTGGATGATGCCCCTGGCAACCTAGAACCCCATGAGTTCAACACCGAAGGTGTTAAAATGGTCTCCTTGCCCCCAAACACAACATGTCTAGTCCAGCCTCTAGACCAGGGGATCATAAGGACCTTTGCTATTCATTACACACTGTGCTCTATGGAAAGGATTGTCAATGCTATGGAGGAGAACCCTGAAAGAAAGAACATCATGAAAGTCTGGAAGGATTACACCATTGGAGACACCATTGTTGTTATAGAAAAAGCTGTAAAAGCCATCAAACCTAAAACAGTGAATTCCTGCTGGAGAAAACTGTGTCCCCATGTTGTGCATGACTTCACAGGATTAACGACAGAGCCAATCATGAAAATCACAAAAGAGGTTGTGGATATGGCAAAAAAAAGGTGTGTGTCTATGTGGGATGTAGAGTTTCAAGATGTGGATCTTGGAGAAATTAAAGCGCTAATAGACACTACACCAGAGGAATTATTAGAAGATGATTCGTAGAGATGAATGCTTCCAAACTAGTGCCAACAATGAGGAAGAAGACATAGGAAAAATAGTACCAGAAAACAAATTGACCAGAAGGGTTCTAACTATTCAAGACTGCCTTTGACTTCTTTTATGACATGGGCTCTTCTATCATGTGGGCACTGAAACTAAAGCAAACGGTGGAAGAAAGATTGGTACTGTATAGAAACATTTTTAGAGAAATTAAAAAGCAAAAAAGTCAGGCAGAAATTACGATATGTTTCTGTAAAGTTACACCAAGTGTGCCTGCCTCTCCTGCCTCCCCTTCTACCTCCTCCACCTCTTCTGCCTTTGCCAAGCCTGAGACAGCAAGACCAACCTCTCCTCTTCCTTCTCAGCCTATTAAACATGAAGATGACCTTTATAATGATCCACTTCTATGAATTTACCATCTAATGAATAGTAAATATATTTTCTCTTCCTTATGATTTTCTTAATAATATTTTCTTTTCTCTAGCATATTTTATTATGAGAATATAGTATATGGTACATATACCATACAAAGTATGTGTTAATTTATTATTTATGTTATCAGTTAGGCTTCCAGTTAACAGTAGGCTTATTAGTTGTTAAGTTTTAGAGGACTCAGAAGTTATGTGCAGATTGTCAACTGTGTAGGGGATTCAGCATCCCTAACCTCTGCATTGTTCAAGAGTCAACTATAAAGAGAAAAATAAAATTTGGGAGATGAAATGAAATTATTACAGTTGTTTTGGCAAGTTAAAGGACTATATTTTAATATCACATTGCACAGGTACTGTCACCTGGAAAAGTTCTGCCTACTAGTTTCCGTGATTGTGGATTAAATTTGTGGTTTTTAGTAGATACATGTAACATTTTTCTCTTTATAGGCATTTGGGATCACAGCTTTGTGAATTAGAAAAACTGATTGATAAAATGATGATTGCAGAGTTTTCTACTTATTCTCACAGTGACTTAAATAGACCACTGGAAGATGACTGTCAAGTTTTAGAAGAGGTATGTGTTTTCAACTGTGGAATGAAATTGATGTCATTGCTTAGTGTTAATCTCTAATAGTTTTAGTTTAGAACTTGTTTTTCTCAGATTATAGTAAGCAAAATTATCTTAAATTTTAAGGTCTGTCAGACCTATGAAGTCCTTCACTATGTGACTTTAGCAAGTACCAGAAGTGTTCGCTATCCCATGGGATAGTGAACGTAGAGAATAAAATACTTTTATAGCTTAATTAGAAATAAGTATTAAAATGAGGTCCTTATAGATTACAAACCAAGTTTAAAATATAAATATAGGATTGATTAATTTATATCCCATGTGCATGTGTGTATGTGCTGGAGTTTTTCTTTTGTAAAAAGTGATTATTTTATATGGTAATTTATCAGTAATTCATATTCACTGAGTACCTATTAGGAACATGTTTTATGCATATACATTTATAAATACATCATATCCAGGCTTCACTTATGCGGTAACTTCTCAGTACTAATCATTGCCAAGAATTAGTAAAGAATTCAAAAAGCCCTGATAACAGCCAAAGTAGTTAAAGAAATTTTGGTCCATGCTAGAAGTTGGTTTCTGTCCGAGAGTCCTGGTCATCATTCTAGTCTTCTAGACCAAACGTGAATTAAAAAGCCCAGGGCTGACATTGTGTTTATTGGTCATCAGGGTTTGAGAAGAATATTTTCTAACTATTTGTTGAAACTGGGCCAAAAAATACCCTTATATTGTTTTGTCCCCAAACCAACTTCATTTGATCTTCTGTGGTAGAGTAGGGTTTACGTTTTAGAACACTGACTCCAAAAATCTGATGACAAGATTGCTGTGAGAGGGTTTTTCAGGCTGCTAGAAAATATCATGTGTAGGGATAGAGATCTGAGAATCAAATAAAACTCTTAGTGCTAAATAGTTCTACCTCTAAATAAGATTATTTCATATTTAAAAGATGATATTATGTAACTCTTCTTTTATTTTAATAGGAAAGACTAGTATCTCTTGTATTTGGACTTTTAAAACAAAGAAAACTTAATTTTTTAGAAATCTATAGTGAAGAAATGATTATTACAGCAAAAAATATCATTAAACAGGTAATTATACATTTTCATTTGATATATTTTGAGCTAGAATCTTTTGTGAAGTTTATTTTAATGCTATCCTATTAATAATATATATAGTATAATAGTAATACTTGATCCATTAATTAAAAATAGAAAATACAGAAAAATTAAAGGAAAGAAAAACATAGCTCTCCCAGCCAAAAGATTATCATTTTAAGAATATTTCTATGTGTAGATTGTTACTGATGTTTTTCATTGTTGTCATAAACTATATATGATTTTGAACCTATATTTCAATTAGAATCATAACATAAGCATTTTCTCATGATTATATAAGCCTTCGGAAACATTTTAATGGTTGTATAAAATTCCATCAACATTATGTTAGTTAACTCTACTTTCTGTATGGTGAATATTTAGTAACACTATAAATAACACTGTGATAGACATCTTCATTATAAAGTTATTTGTTTATTTTTCATATTTAAGATTGCTTTCTGGCCTGGCGTAGTGGCTCATGCCTGTAATTCTAGCACTCTGGGAGGCTGAGGCAGGAGGATTGCTTGAGTTCAGGAGTTGGAGACCAGCCTGAGCAGGAACAAGACCCCATCTCTACTAAAAATAGAAAGAAATTATCTGGCCAACTAAAAATATATAGAAAAAATTAGCTGGGCATAGTGGTGCATGCCTATAGTCTCAGCTACTCAAGAGGCTGAGGCCTCAGGAGGATTGCTTGAGCCCAGGAGTTTGAGGTTGCTGTGAGCTAGGTTGATGCCACGGCACTCTAGCCTAGGCAACAAAGTGAGACTCTGTCTCAAAAAAAAAAAAAGATAGCTTTCTTAAACTGATTCCCAGAAGTGGAATTATTGGTCAGAGACTTAAAAGTATTTTTAAGTCATTTGATATGTAGTACTGAATTGCTGTCTAAAAAGATTTTACTAATTTATAATCAGCTTCACCAGCGGTAGACAAGTGTTCCCTTTCCTTTTTACTCTGATCTTTGAGAAATTATAATTTTCACCCCTTTTCGCCTCTCTCTAACAATGATTAAAACACTATTTTTAAATTGATATAGCCACTTTGAAAAATTGTTGACAATATCTACTAATGCTAAATATATACACATGTTGTGCCCCAGCATTTATATTTCTAGGTATTCACCCAACAGAAATACATATATAAGTTCACCAAAACACAGTAAAAGAATGTTCATGGTAGTACTGTTTATAATAAAAAAAGTGGTAACATTTCAAATTCCATCATCAGTCGAAAGTATAAATAGAATTGTGGTATATGTATACAATGGAATACTATACATCAATGAGAATGATTAAATTACACAGAACAGCATAAGTGAATATTACAGACATAATGTAGAGCCAAAGAAGCCAGATACTAAAGAGTATACACTATATGATTCTACTTATGTAAAATTTAAACACAGCCAAAATTATTCTATTGTTTAGAAATCAGAATAGGGAGGGGGGAGCACAAGAGTAACTCTGGGTACTGGCAGTATTCAATTTCATGAGCTGAGTTCTGATTACACAGATGTGTTCTATTTGTATAAAAGTGTTAAACTGTAAACATAATTTTTACAATTTTCTGTATGTCTACTGTCAAACAAATTTTTTAAATTGCTGTGTTTCATTCCTAGACTTCTCCTGAAGTGTAAGCATTTTTTTTTTTTTAACTTTAAACTGCTTGGTGTATTACAAGGAAATGTAACTTCTAATATGAATTTCTTTTGGGATTTTAATATGGAGCTTACACCTTGTTCTTAGGTATTATAGTTCTATTTTTCTGTTGATTTTGAACAGTTTTAAGTAGTAGGAGATTTTAATTATTACAGTTCAAATATAACTATGAAATAATTATTAACTTGTGTAAAGGTAATGCTGCAGTTTTTTAAACACCTGAAATATGTATGGGAGATATAAGAAAAGTCTGGTAAAATGGTTATTGTCATCAATGAAGGCCTTTTTAATGTACAAATGGAACATAGAATACTTAGGATTTGAAAGACAATTAATCAAATTGTTTTTGTTTTTTCTTAAATTTTTCAGTGTGTGATTAATAAAGTTTCACAAATAGAAGAAATAGACACAGATGTTGTTGTGAAGTAAGTATAAATAAATAAATTGGTTATTAGGGAAAAGATGATACATGAAAATTAGAATAAGGAGGGTTTAGTTAATGAATTATTTACTAAAGTGTGAGCAGGGTCTAGCAAAATCACAAGTGAGCTTGGAGAACCTTTAACAGACAAAGGAAGATAGCAATTAGCAGAATTCAGGAAAGACAGGTAGTAGTTGAAAAAAAGCTGTAGCTTTGAGTAGAGGGAAGCATTCATCCTGAAGCAACCCTTCAGGGAGAGAGCTAAAGGAGTAAGTACATTTCCTGCTTACAGTCTTTGTAAGGGCTCCTCATTGGCCAAGCCCAGCAGGTTGGCCTCCCAGGTCAGAGAGCAGATGGACAGGTTTAGAACATAAATATGGAGGGGATGGGAATTGAAGATAATTTATACAGGCACATAGCAAGTATTAAGTTTGAATTATTTAGCTATATAATTAAAATACATCTTCTAATTGGCTTTGAGAATTTGAGTATATGATTTTTGAATTGCCCATGTTTGCAATTTTTTTCACCCTTGAAATTCTTATTTTATTTTGAGAAAACTAGGAATAAATATTTTATGACTGAATTTCTCATTTATATAGATATCTAAATTTTATTAACTGGCCTGAGATATGAACAGTAATATGGACAACTATGAAGCTTCCCTGGGCCAAACCCACAGAGTGGAGATTGTGGTGTTTTAATTTCCATACTATTACCTGGGGAAAACTCAGTTCAGAATTGAGACAACTGTAATAACAGGGGAATTGCTAGTAGTTAGAAAAAATATGTCATTGGGACTCTGTTAGAACCCCAATGGAGGTAGAGAGTCAGTTACTTTTTATTTTCTTCTCTGAGATTTTTCTCAACATAAATAGAGCACTTCCTATATAACAAGTGTAGGAGTATCTTTTGAATAAACTCCTAGCTGCAGCAGCATTTATTAAAAATTTCAAGTAGTAAGTCATTTTAATACTCTAAAGTATCTTTGTGGAATTCTATTTTACATTAATTTTTTCACCTTGAAGTTAATGATTTATGTCAGTTATCAAAATAATAATATTGACTGATACACAGCACTTTTAAAACTATATGATGCATTCTTCTAAGTACTTTTTATTAACTTATTTAATATTTACAACACCCATATAAGGTGTGTTCCGTTATTTTCCTCATGTTAAAATGATAAAATTGGAACATAGAGGGGTTAAGTCACTTGCCAGAGTCACGTAGCTATTAATTCCAGTAAGTGGCTAGAATTTTGAACTGAGATAGTGTGGCTCCAGAGCCCATGCTCTTAGCTATCATGCCATATTACTTCTCATATATGGAAAAGTACTTTTTAGATTGTAGTTAGAAAAGTAGATTATTAAAGTTGTTGGGAGAGCTCTTATGTTTCTACTTTTATTCCAGAATATGTCTTTACTTTTATTTACAATTGGTTTGTCTATGGTATATTCATCCAATGGTCACAAAGCATGTTCACATGAAATTAGTATGTGATAAGGTTCATATGTCAGTATACTTAATTAGACTAGTCTTAAAGGTATTTAAACAAGTCATGGTTTCATGATTGTTTGGTAATTGACCTCTTCAACCTAAGATTCCATCATTTTAGTTAGGTATCTAGATAAAACTGCATTGTATTCTTCAGTCATTAGATAGTATTTAGTGTTGTTTCCTCCAATTTGTAGATGTTACTGTATTGGCCCAGAGACAATGATTATTTTTGTTTGAACTATGTTTTTTCTAGGCTTGCAGATCAGATGAGAATGTTGAATTTTCCTCAGTGGTTTGATCTGCTAAAGGATATTTTCTCTAAGTTTACAATTTTCCTACAGAGAGTTAAGGTATGTATCAGTTTGTCTAGAATATCCCTAAAATTAAGTCAGCTTTCTAGATATATAACATATATATATATATATATAGAGTCAAACAAGAATAAAACACAATTACTTAGTTTTTGTAATTTTTCTAAAGAGACTTTGTTTTAAGTAAGAATTTAAGTGCCTCAGAGTATTTTGGCAATTTTTATAATTTTGGAGATTTGTTTTATATTAAAAAGAAATATTATATGGCTAGGTGTGGTGGCTCATGCTTATAATCCCAGCACTTTGGGAGGCTGAGGCGAGAGGATCACTTGAGCCCAGTTGTTTAAGAACAGTTCCAAAAAAAAAAAAAAAATAGCTGGGTGTGTTGGTGTGTGCCCATAGTCCTAGCTACTGGGGAGGCTTAGGTGGGAGGATCATTTGAGCTCCGGAGTTAGAGATTGCAGTGAGCTATGATTGTGCCATTGCACTCAAGCATGAACAACAGAGGAAGACCCTGTATGTAAAAAAAATAAAGAAAGAAATATTGTAATGCTACTGGATATCGTATATTATCAAATAATATTCTAGTGATTTTGTGATGTTTGAATCCTTCCAGATTATCTAGTGGTACAATATTGTGAAACACTCTAAAATACATCCCAAACGACTAATTTTTCTATAAATTCAATGTTGATAAAATGCTATTTTTAAACATATTGTTCAGATTCAAATTATCCCACTAAAGTCCTTTACTGCAGATTTTTATTTAATTTTTTGGGCAGGGGTTCAATTGAAGATCATGTATTACATTTAATTATTTTGTCTCTTTAGTCAAACCACTTAATTTGAAGTCACTTAATATAAGGAAAAGAACATATGTCACATAATATTTTTCAGATGTCACAGACTCTAAAACATATTGGTTGGAATCACCAACATGTTATAGCTACGTTTTAAAAAAAAGGCAGTCATTAGGTATTACTGAATGTAACAGTTAAAAGGGGCCATTTGTGAAATTTGATATTGTTTGAGTTATCAAATGTCAACATTGTACTAGTTAATATCCCCAGCATCTCCTGAGTACCATGGTAAATAATCTGGGGGACTTTGGTACTTGTCTGTGACATGGCTTTTCTTTATTGACATTGGAGCAATGCTAAGTCACATGTATAAGCTCACCAATCAGGTTTGGAAAAGTTTTATAGAATGTGATTTGCTGTGCTTAATTTAGACTCTTTCTAAAATGTTGATCCCACCCATTGATAGTGACAGACACAAACTTGTATGTATGGATTGTTAATAACTGGGCCACATCTTCACTTTTTCTTATATTCTGACCATAACCTCAACATCACATACTTCTATTATTGCATATCTGGATATATAGAACTCCTGCATGCATAGTGCAGAATTGCCCAACTTTTTGCCAGTAATTTTTTTTTATTTTAGCGTATTATGGGGGTACAAGTATTAAGGTTATGTATATTGCCCATGTTCCCCCTCCCCCCTCGAGTCTGAGCCTCAAGCATGACCATCCCCCAAACATTGTACATCTCACTCATTGTGTTTGTATATAACCAGCTCCTCATCCCCCCTCCCACCTCCCCGACACCCAATAAATGTTATTCCTATATGTCCACTGAGATGTTGATCTGTTCATACCAATTTGCTGGTGAGTACATGTGGTGCTTGTTTTTCCATTCTTGAGATACTTCACTTAGTAGAGTGGGTTCCAGCTCCATCCAGGAAAATACAAGAGGTGCTATATCACCATTGTTTCTTAAAGCTGAATAGTACATCATGGTATACATATACCACATTTTATTAATCCACTCATGTATTCATGGGCACTTGGGTTGCTTCCACAACTTTGCAATTGTCAATTGTGCTGCTATAAACATTCGAGTGCAGGTGTCTTTTTCATAAGGTGACTTTTGATCTTTTGGGTAGATGCCCAGTAGTGGAATTACTGGATCAAATGGTAGATCTACTTGTGTCGCTTTAAGGTATCTCCATATTGCTTTCCACAGAGCTTGCACTAGTTTGCAGTCCCACCAGCAGTGTATGAGTGTTCCTGTCTCTCTGCATCCACGCCAACATTTATTGTTTGGGGACTTTTTGATAAAGGCCATTCTTACTGGAGATAAGTGATATCTCATTGTGGTTTGATTTGCATCTCCGATGAAGAGTGAGGCATTTTATAGTATGTTGGCCATTATTCTGTCTTGAGAAATTCTGTTCATGTCCTTTTCCCATTTTTTGATAGGGTTGTTTGATTTTTTCTTGCTGATTTTCCTGAGTTCTAAATAGATTCTAGTTATCAGCCCTTTATCGGATGGGTAGCTTTCGAAAATTTTCTCCCATTCTGTGGGTTGTCTGTTTCCTCTCTTGACAGTTTCTTTGGCCGTGCAGAAGCTTTTTAATTTAATCTGGTCCTATTAATTTATTTTTGTTGTTGCTGGGATTGCCTTTGGGGTCTTCTTCATAAATTCTTTGCCTACGCCAATGTCTAGAAGAGTATTTCCAACGTTTTCTTCTAGAATTCTAATAGTTTCACACCTAAGGTTCAAGTCTGTTACCCAGCATGAGTTGATTTTGTGAAGGTGAAAGGTGTGGTCTTGTTTCAGTCTTCTACATGTGGCTATCTAGTTTTCCCAGCACCATTTATTGAATAAGGATTCTTTTCCCCAGTGTATGTTTTTGTCTGCTTTGTCAAAGATTAGTTGGCTATATGAGGATGGTTTTATATCTGGGTTGTTGGTTCTGTTCCACTGGTCAATGTCCCTGTTCTTGTGCTAGTACAAAGCTGTATTAATTACTATAGCCTTGTAATATAGTTTGAAGTCTGGTAAATTGATACCTCCTATTTTGTTTATTGCCTAGGATTGCTTTTGCTATATGGGGTCTCTCTGGTTCCATAAGAAGCGTAAAATTATTTTCTATACTCTGTGAAAAATGATGGTGGCATTTTGATAGGAATTGCATTGACTCTGTAGGTCACTTTGGGTAGTATAGACATTTTAACAATGTTGATTCTGCCGACCCATGAAGCATGGCTATATTCCTAACCATTTTACAATCCTCTGCTATTTCCTTCTTCAGTGTTTCATAGTTCTCCCTATAAAGGTCTTTTAACCTCCTTAGTTAAATATATTCCTAGGTACTTTATTTTCTTTGTTGCTATTTTGAGGGGAATTGAGTCATTGATTTGGTTCTCACTTTTACTGTTGTTGGCGTATATGAATGCCTCTGATTTCTGTGTATTGATTTTGTATCCTGAGACTTTACCAAATTCTTTTATCAATTCAAGGAGTCTCTTGGTTGAATCCTCGGGTTTTCTAGGTATAATATCATGCAATCAGCAAAAAGAGAGTTTGATCTCTTCTGCTCCCTTTTGGACGCCCTTAATTCCGCTCTCTTGTCTGAACTATGTTGAATGGAAGTGGAGATAGTGGACAACCTTGTCTTGTTCCAGTTCTAAGTGGGACTGCTTTCAATTTTTCCCCATTCAGTATGATATTGTCTGTGGGTTTGTTATATAGGGCTTGTATCATTTTTAGGTAAGCCCCATCTATGCCTATTTTGTTGAGCATTCTTATCCTAAAAGGGTGTTAATTTCGTCAAATGCTTTCTCTGCGTCTATTGAGAGGATAATATGGTCTTCATATGGTGAATTACATTTATAAATTTGCAAATGTTGAACCATCCCTGCATCCCTAGGATGAAGCCCACTTGGTTGTGATGAATTATTTTCTTGACAAGCACCTGGATTCGATTGGCTAGGATTTTGTTGAGAATTTTTGCATCTATATTCATAAGGGATATTGGTCTATAGTTTTCTTTTTTGTTGCACCCTTTCCTGGTTTTGGTATCAGGGTTATATTTGCTTCATAAAATGTGTTGTGGAGGTTCTTCTCCATGTTGTGGAATAATTTCTGCAGGATAGGCACCAGTTCCTCCTTGTAGGTGTGGTAAAATTTGGGTGTGAAACCATCTGCTCCAGGACTTTTCTTTTTAGGAAGGTTTTTTATTGCTCTTTCAATTTCAGTCCTTGATATTGGTCTGTTCAGGAATTCTATTTCTTCCTGATTGAGCCTAGGGAAGCTCTGTGTTTCTAAGAAATTGTCTATTTCCTCCACATTTTTCAGTTTGTGTGCATAGAGGTTTTTGTAGTATTCATGAATTATATCTTGTATCTCTGTGGCATCCATTGTAATTTCTCCTTTATTGTACCTGATGGAGCTTATTAGAGATTTTTCTTTTCTGCTTTTCATTAGTCTAGCCAAAGGTATGTCACTTTTGTTTATTTTTTCAAATAACTAACTTTTTATTTTGTTAATCTTCCGTATGGTTTCCCTGTTGTCAATTTCATTTAGTTCTGATTTGATCTTAATGCTTTCACTTCTTCTGCTAGGTTTGAGGTTGGTCTGTTCTTCTTTTTCCAGCTCTTTGAGATGATTCATTAGGTTGTCTATTTGTGATCTTTTCGACTTTTGGATATAGGCATTTATGGAAATGAACTTTCCTCTCAGGACTGCTTTAGCTGTGTCCCACAGGTTTTGATAACTTGTGTTTCCTTTGTCATTTAGTTCAAAGATTCTTTTGATTTCCATCTTGGTTTCCTCATTTATGAAGTGATCATTCAGCAGAAGGTTGTTTAGTTTCCATGACTTTGTATAGAAATGAGAGTTCCTGTTAGGGTTGATTTCTACTTATATTCCATTGTGATCTGAAAGGATACATGGTATGATTTCTATTTTTTAAAATTGTTTGAGACATGCTTTGTGTCCTAGGATATGGGCAATCTTAGAGAATGTCTCATGAGGTGATGAGAAGAACGTATATTCTGTGGTTTGGGGGTAGAATGTCCTGTAAATATCAGTCAGGCCCATTTGTTCTAGAGTTCTGTTTAAGTCCATTATTTCTTAGTTGATTTTCTGTTTGGAGTGTCTGTCCTGTGCTGTCAGTGGGATGTTAAAGTCTCTGACTATTATGGTGGTGTTGTTTATCCATTTGTTTAGATCAAGTAGAGTTTGCTT